TCTGTGCGACGAAGTACAAAAAAGTAAACAAACGTCCCTTTCGGCTCGTCAAAATCACGCCACATTTTAATACTTTGGTGTTGGAGCGAGCGCATTTGATCCAGTTAACTGTGAATGAAAAGCTCAAAATTAACGGGAAAAATGGAGGAAATCTAAGCTAAATGAAGTCTCGTGTCACTCTAAAATGTTTTAATACTCAACGATGGGACGATTTTGCGAAACGTGCAACTTGCGGCCTTGTTTTTGCTGCTTCAGTTGAATCAAGACCCAAAAGGTCAAAATTAATAAACGCGGCATTACCAGGAGTGATCATTGGTCGAGTTTATCTCTTGAATTTTCGAGAGGTCTGAGATTTCGGGGTCTGAGATTTCGGGGTCTGAGGTCTGAGGTCTGAGTTTTCGAGGTGTGAGTTTTCGTGACACCCCAAGCTCGCTTGCACTCGGGTAAAATGCTCATGGATTTTGCCGAAATTATGTCAATGAAGTGCAGTATGCGAGGGCTAAATACATCGATTTCTCATCGGCTAAGAAGCTCAAAGAAAAGCTCGACCAAAAAAATCGAGGATCTACAACAGCCGCAAGCCTCGAACCATATGTAGTATGGTATCCCTGTGTATTATGTATTCGTATCTCACGTGACTAGCACGTTAAGATAGATCCGCCATCTTGATTAAAACTGTTGACATTTATATTTGTCTCGTCCTGCTTCTTATTATTACACCATACAACAACTTCTAGTTCCTCCTGTTCTTCCCCTTGATTTGTAATGATATTAGGTATAGCGCATTAGATCATATATCTAATGAATTTTGCGCTATAGAAATAATAAAATTATTATACGAAAAAATCCTTAGTCTTTATGCTTTCCACTTTTGCTCGAACAGCCAACAACAGTGCATAAAACCATCCCTTCTTTCTCACACGAACTCTTCGTTAGATACGCTGAGACCTCACCAATCGGTCATCAATGAGATACTTGTTCATCTTTCGTTCAAATTCTAGCTTCTTCCCTCCAGTGTTTTCCAAGATAATCGCCGGGAAAGTCGTAAGCACGGCTTCCATTTTATGATTGGTAAATCCGCATAGCTATTCCCCAGTCTTTCCTTGTTTTTGCCATCACTTGCATGATAATGACGTATATTCACGGTTTTTATTCGAAGTTCTTGCATGACTGCTACGCTAACTCTTTACACCGTGAACTAGTATTTATAGTCCTTCACTGTTGTGGTTATATTTCCTTTTAGGGGTACGGACAAGGCCACTCCTACATCGGTTATTACTTGCCCAGTTTATTCTCATCACCGGGTTCAAAAGTTTAGAAAAAAAAAATGCGTTTCAATCTATTACATTTCGCCTAATAATTATTTATGTTTACCTTTGGTAATGATGAACCGTCTTGCCAAAGCATCTTATAATTTCAAACAAAATATCGTGCCAAATTGGCGACCCATACACACCCCATCCGGGCAAAGCTGTTAATTAGTTTGGTAAATTGTCTTCTTTTTATCGCTCTACTTACTTTTCAAAATAATATTACGCTGTTATTTCCATATCTAACGTTACCAAGCGCTTTATCCTTTGCACCCTATCATAGTCCATGGCCTTGCCGAAACCACATGTTTCTACATTGTTCATTCTTTTAAAATAACTACATGTTAAAAGAAATTTTTGAACATTGTCGAACCTTGTAGTTGAACACTGTAGTCTGGGTGTTATACCACTTTATTAACCGTATGATACATCATTGTTACATTACTATGTATTTTTTCGTATTGTTTAAGGGTGATATATCCCCCCGTGCTCTTCCTGCGCTGCCGCATATGTTGACATGAACAAGCTGCTAACTTACCTAGAGTAGCACAATGAGGAAATGTGGAGGAGATGAAAATGAATGGTACAGTCATTATCTAACGCCGGGGGAGAAGGGTTAGAGGTCTATTTTTTTGGGGGGGGATTACATGGTTTTCAGGATGAACAGAGGGGGATCAGTCGTCTCTGACAGAATTCAAAAGGGGGGAACATCGAAAATTGACTGCCAATGATGGGGGGAGGTCATAACAATAACACAGAACCTCATGGGAGATCAGGTAAATTTGATCGGGACAACCAAAATCCTTGACCCCTACCCCACCCCCCCTTCTGGGCGATAAATAAAGACCGCTTCCAAAAGGAAATTCCTTCTTTTCTCAAATATTAATTTCTATATGTCAACTTCACTAGAGTGGTTTCCATTCTCTTTTGCCAGACTTGCACAAAAGTTTCCGTTTGAAATAAAGGGGGAGGGGGGGGGGCGGAAGAATGCACCACATTAATGAAAACTAACTGCGACATATTAAAAACATGCAGGAAAGTTAATTCGAAAGTTTGAACTAAAAAGTAGCTCATGAACAGTTACGGTTTATCGAGATAACACTGGAAGGTACTGTTGTAAAGCATTCATTTGTTTCAAAGATCTTCCAGCCTACTACTGAGGGAATCCACTTGAGATTGGAGCCAGCCTTCGACTTCCTTCCCATAATTTTTCATCCAGTTGATACACCCCTCTATATACTCCAAGGATTTCTTTGTCGCGCGCAGGGATCCCACTTTATCCTTGTGCTGATTGATAAAATCTTTGAACTTCGTAAAAGATGGAAAGAACGTGTAAAAAAATACATATCATCATATGACGTCTGTTCTTTCTCTAACAAAACTTTCAAGGAAAAGACGAGGTACATCTTTGGGAATACGCATGTTTTAACCGTAACCGCCTACGAAAAATTTCATGTTTTTTTCAAAATAAATGATTTTTATTTCAATTCATAGATCTCTCACGTTTCCCACGACCCGTCAATAACATTCCCTTCCCCGTGTTTAATGAGCCCTTGTTACGCTTGCAAATGATAAGGGGGTCATGTGTTTACAAAACTCTATCAGCAAGTACCTCTTGAAGTTGAAACTCCGTGTTCATCCCTCGACTGGCGATGTTGATCAAATAACTGACTTCCATTGCGTCATTTCCCATCCTAGGTAAATAAATAAGCTTCGTTTTAGACGGACATAATACCCTTAATACTCTCTTACTGTTCTCAATGTTCCTAATTTAATAACTTTTTCCTCACACATTCGTATTCTTGATCCTCTCCCCGCCTCTGTGCCTTTGTGTAAAAAATTAATTTGAAGTTTATACATGCTTATGTAGAAGTGAAATCAAATTTCTGTTCACATCACAGTTAAAAACTGTTTTTAAAAAGTCAACCTTGAAAAACTGAGGGACGTGGTAGAATTATGGAATAAGGTTTGAGCATCCTATTGTAGGACTTTATGCGCCTACTGATAAGGCCAGAACAGATGACGATGAAGAAGATTCATTTCCAAGAATGTTAACCATACGATCTGTCTCTATACCAAGCGGCTGACAAGAAGAATTCGTTTAATAGTCAAGAGCTTCTTTAGTTGGCGATCATTTCCTATATTCTGGTGACCTTCATGTGTGATTCAGGTGTGTTATTGTAAAGAAATGTTAGATGCTGGTCAAAGGGTTAAGACACGAAAAGAGCAAAACTAACAATTGCAAATTCGTGATTCACACCGCAAAGAGTGCTGAAAATCATACTATAACATGAACCCTGGCGGCCTGTCTGTTGCATCTCCTTTTATAACCCAGGTGAACCTTTATACCAAGGAAGAAGGACTATCGGGAAGAGGGGGGGGGGGGTTACCGGCGTTCTTGTTCACACGCTAATTTGATGGCTTGCAAAGCTTGTCTATCCTTTCTCGTGTAAACGCCAACAAACAGTTATTTGCGAAAGAGTTGTCCTTCCCAGTAATTTGACGCTGGTTGGAGGCACATCCGAGTAAAAAAGCCCTTTTAAAGATGCGTGTGCCTTGGTAATAAAATACTGCAAGCATACAAATGGTTCTCACTTTTTCACGATCTTGTCAAAGTTCTTTCTGATGAAATCCCAAGTCAGAAGGCGTCCATATACATGTGATCCAACCCCTGATATAGCGTGCAACATGTCCTGTGTTCTAATCTTTGTTTCGTCAAGTGAAGATTCCAGGATCCTAATTTCATTGAAAACAGATTTTCATTAGAGGGCAAATTTGAACTGCTAATGAAGTGGGATCATAAGAATGTTACAGAACCTTATGAAGGGAGNCGACAAATAATGACCGGTTTCTTGTTACTATAAAAACAATTGTCTCGGACAATTTAGTGTAAGGCTGTAATTCAGAGGTTTAAACCATAAAAAATCAAAATAAATATCATAAAATACATATTCCGCTATTCCTAGGATACGAAGCAAAACTAATGGCTGCTGCTGGAGATTAATGTGAACGAACTTCCTTTCAGGAAGGATTTCGACAAGTCTTCTTCACGCCCGCAGTAAAAATATTTTCTGCTCAGATTTCCCCACAATCTGTCCTGTCTCATTTTTAAGTCATTTACCCCGGATGCAAATGTGTTAAAGAAATAGAGCGCTTCCCGCATGAGTTCCATGAAGCCAATACCAATGTCATGACATCGGCCAATCAGAACACAGGAAAATTAGTAACCCGCCTGGAGCGCGGGAAAAACGCGAGTGAGCCGGTCCCGGCTGATTTTATATTTGCATCTAATTGGTTGGAAGGTTAACGCGAATTTTGTTTTTCTTGTAGTGCGAACGAAGAAAAACCATTGCAGTCCGGGCTATGATAACTTTCCAAACTGTGTTGAAATTGTCTCTTAAGTTTACCTGTTTAACAGCCAAGGTTCTTTGGTGCCTGTTAAAGCGTACAGTATCCTGGATTTCTCAGTGGCGTCGATGGAGTTCTGGTATTTCTCCCACATAAATTCCCATTCCTCTAATCCGCCGAACTTAATGGCGGTGTGGTATACAATGTCCCGTAGATGAGGAGAGATTGTAAGGCTAAAAAGAAAGGGAATTTTCATAACGTTAAGTTATAATGAAAAGCGTAAACTAGGAAAGGCCTTGATATGTTGTCCTTGATGGTTATGCGTATGTGCGTGATTGAAAAAACTGAGGGAGGGGAAAGGAAAAAGTGGAACGACGAGCAAATAAACGAAACAAAATGACGAATGGGGACGAATAAATAAAGAAGACAATTAAACGAATAAACTGAGAAAGGTGAACTCAAGAACGAACGAGTGAGCGAAATACAAAACGGATGAGTTAATGTCAAACAGACAAACGAAGGAGCAAGAGAATAATTTGACGAACAAGCAAAGGACGGAATGAACAACGAAGGGAAAGGAGTATGTGTATGTTGTGTAACACAGATGTTCATCTTGTCATTAGCGTGGGACGAAGAAAAGATTCCGAGTTTCCATGAAGACACGAAGAATCGAACCTTACACCTTTGAATTCCGTGCTCTGATGTGATACCACTGAGCTACAGAGAACTCCGTGGTGAGCTGAGCCATGAATTGGTTTCCCTGTGACACGCGTCCTGCATAGTGCTAAGATCAGCATTGTCTGAAGCGTCATTTTTAATAAATAGAAATAAGATAATTTTGATGGTGTATTTTGAGTTTGTTAATAATGATGGTTTGTATTTTTAACCTCTGATTCTTCATCCACATTCTGAATCCAGTCAAACTGTAATCCACTGCATGCTCATCACCGTGGCTGGCCAATGTTGACAGCACGTTGCTCCGCAGATACCTGTCAAAAATTCACCAATTAAATTTCATGGTAAAAAATATCACTGTACTATACTCATACTGTAGAATGCCGAATTGGATATGAAAAAGCGCGGAAACATGGACAAGGCATTTGGACGAAGGTTAATTAAAACTGAATATTCTTGTTGTAGGATTCGGGTTATATCGTTACGGAGACGTAGGAGACGAATTTTCCGGAGTTCTGTGTGCATATTTGTCATCAGACCCTCTTTCACCTTATCATTAACGACACCTGCGGTTTTGGAAAATCTTTCTCAAAAAGTATTCTTAGCAGACGATAATGATCCTCTGGGTGTCTTTACTTACATCTTGAGGATATCGCCATCAGTTCCCCATCCCACGTACTTTTCGAGTGGCTTCACTTTCTTCACAATGTATTTCTGTGCAAAGGAAGGAAGATCGCTAAAGTTGGTTATAATAAATCCTGTCGGACTGCAATCAATTCCCCGTGAGTGGTTGATCAAGTGACCGTACTGATTCGCCATTTTTATTTTTCCGCTTGGCGTCTCTTTGGATATACCGTGAGCAGAAGAACTAACGTATTCTGAACAAAATCACTGTTTGATCTCGTGTTCTTAGAGCGAAACCAAATTCATCTCAACAGCCAATCAAACAAAGGCAAATATCAGCCAGCCAGTGAGAACTCAAGGTAAACACGCGCGACAGGTCCTGAGCGCGGGAAACGCGTATCGCAAAGTCGCGATTGGTATAAATTTGCATCTGATTGGTTGGGAAGGGGGCAGGAGTTTTCTTAACCAATCAAAGCAAGGAGTGAAGGAAGAGAGAAGCAATGTATCCCAGGAAGTTATTTTATCACGGGTAATCTCAGACTTTCAAGCCTCCACTTACCCGGTAGAATCCGTATGAAGGACGCATGGTCAACATTGACCCAATGAAACCCAAGTGACCGAGAGCAGAGGACCATGGGACATATTCTCTTTCCTTATCCAAGTAATTCGTTAGACCCAAAGCAGTGGACATGTCCAGTTGGCCAGCCCTGCGCACAGATAAAAAAAAACAAAAATTCGTTTGCCTTCATTTCGCCTCAGACTGTTGCTGTGTTTTTTGGGGAACGATAAAAACTCTCCCCTCCCCCCCCTTCCAAGCTTCGGCAAAACAACTGTCAGCATTACAACAACGAAGCAAGGTGGAGCTGTAAGCGTGTATGTTACTCAGTCTTTATCTTTAAAAGCTAATAATTTATCATAATAAAAAACATGGCATGTTACTAAATCCCAGTAATGATCTAGTACAAGGGCCCCTATTGGTAAACCCTCCCTTTAGCCCCGTCATGATAGGGGAGCTTTAAGCACAGGGGTTTTTGGGTCGCAGATGAAAGCCCGAAGTTGAGTTGCGTTTCCTCTACGCGTCTCACAGATTTTTTTTTCTGATTTTCGTAAACTACATCTAAGTGTGTGGAACATTTTTCAATCGAGTGGCGAGATAACGATGGTTTTACTTTTCTTCGCTCTGTGATTGCAGGCCAAGCCTCTCAATCAATCAAATTCAAAACTCAAAGCTACGCTGACCCGATCTCTGCCAACCTTCCAAGCTCAGGCAGTTTGCTCGTTTTCTTTTTTCTTTGAATTCTCACTGGCTCCTTGTGAAATCTTTCTGTGTTCTGATTGCTTATTGCAATCACTTTGGGTCATGGTCTCAATACATTCAAACGAAATGAGCTCTAACTTAGTAAGCCACATTATCAGGTAAACCACGCTTCCTTCCTTCATCATACCTGGCCAAGTTGAAAGCATCATCAATCAATCCACTCCTATCCACAGCGGCCAAAACCTAAAATAAACGACAGAAACTCGTTATCGTTACTACTGGATTTTCTTAATTTCATACAAACGTTTGGACGCGTCTGGCAGTTGATGAAGGTAATGGAAAGGGTCAGAGTGTTCGTTTAATCGAATTCAGGATCTTCAGTCGAAAGCCGTTGTACAGTTATTCGATGTATCTAGTCTAGTATTTCCTTTTAAGATCAAACTTTCACTTGATTTAATAAATCATTCTCACTCAACCAAGTTGTTTTTGTGTTGAATGTTCGCGTGAAATAAATATATCGTATTATGGATTATACCTTCCTTAAAAAGGAATTTTTACGACCCACAACTGACGAAAGAGAGTACGAGAGTTCATTACGACTAGCTTTTACGACTTTTCATTACGACTAGCACAGCAACTCAAAATTGGAGTGTATCTGTTGTAAATGCCAGAATATAAATATCAAGTCGTTTAACTTTCGTAGGTTTTCAACTCACTACATGTAAGTGCTCGGGAAAGTTTCGAGAACGAAAGTCTCGCTTTTAAGCCGACATTGAGATGCTGGAAGATTTACCGAGAACAAGTCATCAGTGGAGGAAGTGTCCTTCAGACATTCATAAATCTCTAGTAATGGCAGCTTCTTTTAGCTTTGAATTCCCATTGGGTTAGTCTCCTCTCGCAGCCGTTCTTTGTCTCAGGATCCCTGTGTCTCCCTCCCCACAAACGGCCGTTTGTGGGGAGGGAGACACAGGGATTCCGAGACAAAGAACGGCTGCGAGAGGAGACTACCATTGGGTCTGTAAGATACTTTCCTTTGTTTTGATTAATGATTGTGATTCCTTGCTGTTGGTTTCATGACACTCAAAGCAAATGCAATCTAAAGAGCACCTGTTTACCTTGTGATTGCTCTGAAGCTGTTTGACAAGGTTGTTCCAGTTCTTTTTGCTGTAGTTTACACGATAAAAACCTGTCTGTCCAACGTTTGCCTTTATCCATTTGTATTTCTTGACAGAAGGAACGTGAACTGCGAATAAATACAAAAAGGTTAGAATTAAATCTTTACTTAAAATCTGGTCAACGCACACTTTTGCTTGATATGTAACCCAACGTAAATAGACATTTATTGCACTTCGCATGGCAAACAGCTATTGACGCTTTCATTGAAACCTTCAAATCAACTTTTAACGTTTACAATCTCACTTTTTATTGATAGATTTAATTTCTCAGTTATCAGTAACATGAACACAACATCACCCATTACAGCACTCCCCTACTTCAGGTTTTGAACGGGCAGAAATAACATGGTGACTTTCACGAAAAAGAGCGACATCATTATATCTCAACGATTTCCACCCAATTTCCAGTCCCCACTCACCGTTCTCCTTTTTCATCCACACTGTGTGTTGCTTGTGAGGGTTTCGTGACGTCACATATGTTAGAGGCACGTACCATCGATAACTGCAAAACGTATCCAATGAACGTGGATTCAAAATGTACATTTATAAATTTCATGAACAATTTTTCACGATAACAAAAGAAAAAACCTCAACATGTTAACTGTTGAGCGATTGCAAGCATACTTCTTAAACTGACTTTCAGGTACATTGTAAATACCATAAGTTACGATTCTTAAGTTACCAATACGTAAGTTAAAGATGTCTTCTTTGAGTTTCATTTTAATCTATCTCCTTTGTACTATCAGGTTCAGGAAAGGAAGTTTAAAAACACTTAATAATTTAAATACATCAACAAAGTTGAAATGGTAAATTGGCCAACGTTACGATTATAAAAGCTGACGTTTCGAGCGTTAGCCCTTCGTCGGAGCGAATAGGGGAATTGTGGGTTGTGTGTGCTTTTAAAGGCAGAAAAAAGAGCTACGTAGTTCCACCAATCACGTAGCTCATTTTTCTGCCTTTAAAAGCACACACAACCCACAATTCCCCTATTCGCTCCGACGAAGAGCTAACGCTCGAAACGTCAGCTTTTAAAATCGTAGCGGTGGCCAATTTACCACTTCAACTTTGTTGATATATTCAAATTATTTCGTTAACTCCACCGACGCAGCCCCAAACAGTTTCTTTAGAAACTATCAGCCTTTATTCTTTAATAAGACTTACCCTTTAGATTCGTCATCGTATTGTTTTGATCCTTGTCTAATATCTCTTAAAAATCGTTTCTGAGTTGCAAACAACTTTTTGGAGCCATCTCTCGCTTGAGCGCTATTCTCCGCGATGTAGACCACAGGGTACCCTTTCTGTTTGATCCATGTGTCCATGATAGCTTTTACATCGAGATCTTTGCAGACCTGAGAAAACCGAGAGAAGACAGAACATTTGAATCTTCTTGTAGAAACAGAAAAAGTATCCGTGAGTGACGCTGGCTGCCAAAGGCACTGTAACACTGCACTGTAACCAAACGCAAAGTAATATCATTGTTAAGTAAATTTCTTTGTGAATCTTGACAAATAGTCATTAGCGCTTCTATCCCTAGCCATCGATGTTTCTTCTTGTTTTATCCTAACAACTCTTCGTTTCGCTCGTTTTTTTTTCTTACCGAACTGTTTTAGAAGGCTAGCCTGTTTTACGCTCTAGAGCATACATCCCTTCGGACCCATGCATGCTTTTTAGGGGGCTCGTCTCTGCTGACCAAGGGCCGGATCCAGCACAAAAAATGACACAAATTATTTTGGCGTATTTCAACATGTTTCATCTGTATCTTTACCTCACTTAATGCGCTCCATAGGTCATCAGCGGCTGCGTTCGCATACTTGTGACGATTTAGGTACAGCTAAAAATAAAGGTGACAGCAACACATTGAAATTTAAGGAAATCTTTTGAAGTTGAATTAATAGACGGATAAATTAATAGACGGATAAATTAATAGACGATGAAGAAAGTTAGTAATGACCTCCAGTCCGCTTTGGAATTTCCTGTCTCCGATAAAACTCCTCAGCATACGGATTATGGATGAACCCTGTCAAAAAAAAAAAAAAATAGATAGATAGATAGATAGTTCATTTATAGAACTTTGCAACCAAAAAGTTGAATTACGTCATATTTAAATTCCTACATAATTAAAGAGATTAAAACTAGATCTACAAGCGCAAACTATTAAAATATGGAATCAGAAAATCTTATGCCTTAAGTGCACTTGAAACAATGAAAATTTTACGAAATCTCTCAGTCTTGAAAACCGGTTTGAACATGCGTGACTTCCTGAGGTTATAACACTTGGTATTTTGTGGGGGGAGTAAATTCTTAAGCTTACTGTCTTTGTTTTCCAAAATGTTCCTAAAAAGTTTGTCCGTCAGAAAGTATCTCCACATGTGTGGTTGCCGTTTGATGTTGCGATTACACACATGAAATGAATAAAAAATAAACTAAACATACAAAAAAACAGAACAAAAAACAAAATAAAAAACAAAACAAGAAAATCATAAAGTAAAATGTTTGGTTAGGCAACTTTTTAACATCATAACGGGGAGTTTTGAGCCATGGCTACCCAATAGAATACCATTTTCTGCTCGAGTACGATCAGAAAACAATCGCCACGATAACTTTGGAGACACTTCCTATCAAGATAAATGTTACCAATTTCCAGGCAAAGTGGAGGGGAGGGGAGGAGAATTCTCGGATATATTTGACTGCCCCTCCCCCCTGCTTTTCAATGAAAAGTTAAAAACTTGTTAAACTTAAAACAACATAGAATGTCCATATATACCAATAAGAAGTTATTGTCACACACCCCACCCCACCCCCCTCCGTCTCCCGTCCCTTAAGCTTTCCCTTTGTTTCCATCCTGTGGCTTCAGGTAAAAGACAGCGTAAGATCTTCTCACACGAGGTAGTTCATGGATTATTCTTAAACGTTCTAGTTGAGGATCTTACTTTGTCATAAGAGATGCTGTCAAAGATCTCCGTGATCTGAGAGGGATTCTTGACCGGTACAGATATGGGGTGGGTGTTGGCCATGCTGTCAGCGGACAGTGCCGTCTGTAGTGTGTGAGCAACAAACTGTTCCAGCTGTAAGACAAATGAAGATACGGCACGATAAACAAATGAAGTCTAACACTGTATTAAGGTGTAGCTCATCAAGCAGCACTATTGGAAAGTATCTCCGCATGTGAAGTTGCCGTTTGATGTTGCGATTATACACATGAAATGAATTAAAACTGCGGCGCAAAACTACCCATCATACCCTCAGTTCAAACCACAGCACCTCAGAATACTCATGGAGCAGTGCCGTTGCTATTTTGTCAGAGCGTTCTTCCATATTAAAGGTTAACCGAAGCGTTTCGACACTTACTAAGGCTACTAGATCTACTCGCAGACGTACTTGCCCGTTAATTCCGCGCTGAGATCACGTCTACAGATTCAAGCTTACCACTTTCCAATCCTTTCGGAAGTGATCTGTTCCGATGTATTCCACATAGTTAGCAAAGCCTTCATTGAGCCACAAGTCATTCCACCACCTCATAGTGACTAGGTTACCAAACCATTGGTGCGCAAGCTCGTGAGCCACCACTATTGCTACATCCTGTTTGTCAGCGGCGCTGGCAGAAGCCGGGTCACTCAGCAGGTAAGTTTCGCGGAAAGTAAGTATTCCCCAGTTTTCCATGGCTCCAGCCGCGAAATCAGGCACAGCGACTAGGTCTGCGAAGTGAAAAAAAAAATGGAAAAGTTTGAAAGTTTGACGGTAAAAAATGCAAAAAGTATCAAACTGATTTACTTCTTAAGGTCCACGTTATTTCTCTTCAGGCAGAGAATTCACCGGAGCGCTGGAACGAGAGTGTGAAGTTAATATATTTCCGAGAAATTCAGTTTTTGCTTTGTCCTACACTAAGGATATAAATAAATTGAACACCTACCCATCTTAGGCAGTGGGTACGGTATATTGAAGAAATCCTCATAATAATTCAGAACATTTTCTGCAACACTGACGGCCAATCTCGTGCTCTCGATGGCATCCTTTCTGGACCAAACTCGAATCTGTAAGAAAACATCAAAGCCGTTTAATAAACAGTAAAGCAGTTACATAGAACGGAGAAACATGGAATAGGAAGACAAAAGTTATTTTACCCTCTACTCGGTGGTTTTCCTTTTTTACGGGCCACGAAGCGTCCGCGACGTACGATTTTTAAGGTGAAGAGAGGAAGGAAAAGGAAGACAAAAGCTTCTGAGGCCGGGTAAAGTTTTTATATAAAATACCACCTTATTTTATGGAAAGGAGTACGTAAAGATACAAGTTTTGTGGTCCATTTTGCTCGCAAGAACAAGCTTCAGAGGGGATCTTCTTTTTCAATTTAAGCTGGTCAGAAATCCAGCATAAGGTCATCTGTCGATTTAGACCCTCCCTTAAACAAGCCCCTTTCTATCGAATAAGACTCCCTCTCTGAGACTCTGATACGACCCTTTCTGTCTTACAAGACCCTCTTCCCCTTACTCTTGGTCCCCCTCTCTCTGATAGGTCCTCTATTTAGGAACCTCCAAAAGTAATAAACCCTGTGTGGATTTGTGACAGCGTTGACGGCTGGGAATAGTAAGCTAAGGACAACTGCGAAATGCAAACATCTTGGGCTTCAGTAACACCAACCTTCTTCCCAGCTTTAGTGCGCGTTTCCTTGTAAGCAAAATCACAGACGATGAAGGCCAGTAAATAAGTGCTCATCTTAACACTCTCCTTAAAGTGGCTCTCCATGAAGCCGTCGTCCCGCGTGATGACCTTTTCCACAGGCATGTTTGAAAGGGCTGAGTATCCCTTCTCGTGCACCAGGGTGACGATGAACTGTGATTTGAACTCAGGCTCGTCAAAACAAGGGAAGGCGGCTCGAGCGTCCGTGGCTTCAAATTGAGTTGTTGCCATGTGCCTTTAACAAAAGAATAAACAAATGTAATAGGTAAGGTGGTTGCTGCAATCTGCAACAAAAAAAGATTTATCCACTACATCGCAGTTCTTAAACTGTTCCCATTCCGCGCCATACAAAGAAAAAAGACAAACGCGACTTCGTCGCAAGTGATGAAACCTCCGTCGCTAAATGGGCGATAGTCTTGTATGACAAAAATACGTCCATGAAGTACCCTTCTCTACTATTTATCACCGACCATTTTTACTTTTACCATCTAAATGATTTACCACAAGTATATAACCTGCTAGTTTGTATGCTTCTGGTATAACTTGATACTGATAATTAAATAAAAATCTGCGTCATTTGATTACCGTGAAATGCATTAAGTACATGAGATAATTACGCAAATTAGTTCTAGCGAAACTGTTGTGTTTTAACGAAGATACATGTTAGTTACGTATCAGTGTGAAATTGCTTAGGGAAAATTGACACCGGGAATCTCAAAATCTGACGTTCAGGCATGAGCCCCCCCGCCAAAGCTTCAACAGATATTTTGCCCCGATCGAGGGTTACGTCAGGACGATCAATTGACCTTCGTGTAATTCACAATTACAATGAATTAACCCTGCAACTCCTAATATCTGATTGCTAATTCTCCCCTTTAACTTTTACATATTTCCTTGTAGATTACTAAGAGAATTTGGTGTTAGATCAAGATAACAACTTCTACCTGATAAGTTTGAGTATTCTCATTACCTGTTTGCCATATAATGTATGGATATTATAGGGAGAAGTTACGCATTAATCACTTCTAGGAGTTAAAAAGGCCGGTCAAGAATAGAAATTCTACCTGACTTCTCCGCTCTTGGTCTTGTACGAACTCTTGTAAAATCCTGTCATTGTGTTCGACAAATGCCCATTAAATTGAAGGTTCACGGTGTATTTTTCGCCTGCCTTGAGCTCATCTTTCATCTCAACCAGATATTGTTCAAACTTCTTGCTTTCTGCCACTCGTAAAACAGGAAGGTGGTTGTGACCCGAGTCCTGAACACCATAGCTTGTTATCTTCAGGCGCTTGACATGAAGGAGAATATTTCTCGTCGGTTTCTCGCAAACCACATCGATTTTTACCCCTCCGTGAAAATCGAAGCTTGATAAATTTGGATGAAGGTAGACTTGATATCTTTCCGGTGTTATATCCTTCGGCAACAGGATGTGTTTGTGCGGGAAATCTTTCTCAGTCTCTGTTGAACGGGCTAATCGATCTCCTGTGACAAAGTTCACGGCTCGACGGTAAAATTCAATTTCGCTGTCGGATGCATGGACGAATGCGGAGAAAATAAACAATACAACTGCACCGAGAGCAATGGATAAAGTTAAAAAGATCGCGCACAGTTTCCCATTACAGAACCGGTTTTCCTGATACTTTACGCGTGATTGCGAGTTTGGAGATAAAGATTCGCTGCCATCTTCTTCTGGAGCTACTCTATATCCCCCTCGTTCGCGCATCATCAAAAAAAAATCACAACTTTTGCTTTTCGTTTATGTCCTTTCCACGCTTGTTCGCGGTTTTGCGAGATCTGTCTTTGGTTTTGTATACCAATAAGATCATGCGATTTTTTCAGGTGTCTAATTTGAGATATTTACAACGATCCCCAAGCAGTCATAGTGATGTAAATACGGAATCCGCCAATAGGAACAGGGGCCAAAAAGCGCGCGAGCAACACGAACAAAGGATGTCTAAAAATATAAGGTTTTCACATTAATATTTGGTAATGAAGCGTTGAAATCCTCTGGAAAGTTCTGTTTCTTGTTCGATGATGTGGGAAAGAGAGTAAAAAAATACCAAGAACTCCTTAAAGAGATGGATTCTGTGAATTAAAAAAAGCAGCAGGTTGGCACAGGTGGCCGGCACACTTCTCATTTCCGGTTCATCCTTGACTTCACAGAATCCCGAGGAGGTTTCTGGGACCAAAGAACTGCGCATGTGCATGTTCAAACACATCTGAAAAGAAAGAAACTTGTTCTCTGGATTTTTTCTCCGACTTGGCCTGATGCTCATCAAACTTCAGGAGCCACGACTCTAATTTCGTATTTGGGATAAAAGTGACTCTTTTTTAGGAGTAGTTAATCAGTTCAGTAAATTATTTTATTGTCACGACAACAGATTAATATTAATTAACAATATATTCGAAATGCAATCGTGAAAGAAAATTTCGTGAATTTTTTTTAAACGAAAGAAAACCACAAATCCTCCTTTCTCCTCGGTAAGAAACAAATTATCTCTGGCTTTAATATTCGAAATGTTCTATTTAATTGAAATACTTGTTTTTATCAACGGAAACCTTCAGCTTTTAAGACAAATCCTCGATAAATATCACTTTCTTATACCTCGACTGTTTCTACTTTTGGATCAAATAAGTCTCTGAGCAACTGCACACCTACCCTCCCCTAACCAAACATTGACCCTAATATGTTACAGTAAGGAGACTGTTGTTGAGCTAGGGTAGGGGTAGGTACGCAGTTGCTCAGATACTGACATGGATCGCTACTTTTTAAAGAGTTGACTTGCCCTCAGTTAATGTAAGCGAATTAAAATTCTGGCAACACTCAGACGAAACGCTTAATTAATCGGAAACTTCCTTGATACCACGCAAACCTCTTCGACGTGCCATTACAATGTAAAATTTTCTGACTAATTCGTTCCCATCTCAATCAAACGTCAGAAATTATATTTTGTTTTCACTTCAGAGTTAAGGCCCAGGCCGCACTGGAGCTTTTGTTGTTTGTTCAGGCGAAAACTCTGTCAACAAGTAGCATAAAAAAGTGCGACCCCCAATCTGAAAAACTTACAATATTTTTGCGGATCGCCAAAAGTTGGCCAATCTTCAGAAAAGCCGATGTCGTGCCTCGAAGGCTTCCAAATTTTGGCAAAACAGACAACCTTGTTTTTTTAATCATTAAGCTATCATCTTACACAAGATATGCCTGCACCATGGAGCCAGGATACCAACAAGATGGAATGATCCCATCAAAAGTGAACTTCGAACCATGACTCCGCCGGACGCGGAAAAGACCACGACCAAGGACGGTTTCGAAAGCGAGCCTATTTAAGCTAATTCTTCATCTTCATGTCTAATAGCTGACACTAGCTGGATAGAACCCTGCTGATGTCGTACCAACAATATCAAAAACGCTGCGTTGTTTCGCCGAGAAAGAAATGCAAAATTCCACAAAAACCCGAAAGTTGCAAAAATAATCATGCGAAGACGATCCATTCTTTTCCAGTAATTCGAGCTAGCATTTTTCTTTATCTTTTAACCGAGGGAGATGGGTTTGTGATTGACGAATGTGTCAATAAATGAAGTTTTGGAAATTGCAAAATTTTTCCCAATTTGAAGCTCACAAAAAACTGGTAAATATTTGAATTCGCTCTAGTGCCACCCTGCCCTTTTTAAGAGAGGCGACATTGAATTATCAAATGGTATTAAAACACTTTAACTTCTTGCAACATTCTATGAAACGACCTGTCATTGACACCTGTTGTAAGCCAACAGATTTGCCCGACGAACCATTAACCGCAGAATCGAAAACAATGATTTAAAAATCTGGGTACAAACGCTTTTATTGACCATTGTGGTTTCATGGCGGTCTCACGACTTTGTCCCCTCGCTTTAGCGTTTAGCGTGGCTTTGATCATTGCTGTTTCGACAGTTTACACTTTCATCAATGGATACAGCGAAGACTTTAGTTTGGTGTTTAAATTCAAGCGAAACCAAGGACCGTCCGAAAGGCTATCAAATCTTGACAAGGGAATGCCATTCCCGCATGAAAACATTCGCTTACCGAAGCAAGTTCGTCCCCTATCCTACAACATTTACATTCAACCAAATTTAACAACGTTCACGTTTACAGGCAAAGTTAAGATCTTACTACAGTGCTTTCAACCAACGAAGAACATAATATTACATATGCGGGATATCAGCGTTGGAGAAATACAACTCACGGACTCAAAACAAAAACGTTTCGCGATTGTAAGACGAAAGCAGCACAGGCAAAATCAACAATATTTGATTTCGACAAACGAGGAGCTTAGAGAAAAAGAAAGATATTCACTTGATTTGGAATTCAGAGGGGTTCTATCTAATAACATGGAAGGATTTTATCGAAGCAGCTATAGGACCAAAAGCGGACAAGTCAGGTTGTTGACCAGTAAATATTTTCTCCTTACGACATCGATACATTTTCAAGCAGACATGCGGCGAAAATAAGGAAAATTATCAAAGGGGGATTTTGTTTGATTCAACACCAAATTCTCAGAACGAAGTTTATTACAAATTTGATGAAGAAAGGGAGAAGAATTGGGCAGATTGAGATATCAAGCATTACTGAGGTCAAACAGCGACCAAAGATACATAAATTCAGCATTAAGCTTGGCGCACTGCCATGAGACTATAAACTATGCTTAGAGATTTTTCATCTGTTCTAACCAATCCCTAAACGTACCTTTGATTTCAAATTGCAGATACCTGGCCACAACTCAATTCGAGGCCACAAACGCTCGCTCAGCATTTCCATGTTTCGATGAGCCCGCATTTAAGGCGGTTTTCCACATCACTGTAGTACATGATTACAAACACAAAGCGCTGTCTAACATGCCTCTTGAGTCGCGTGAGAGGAGACGCGATGGTCTTGTGGAGAGTCATTTCAGCGCAAGCGTTCCTATGCCAACGTATCTGGTGGCGTTTATCGTGTGTGACTTTGAGTATAAAGAAACAAAGACTAAGAGTGGCAGAAAGGTAAGATGATTGACCTCCAGTTAAATTTCATGCTGTAAAGCTCGACAAGTAGATAGATAGATAGATACTTTATTGGTAAATACTTCGCATCATGAACTGAATTGCGTATTCGCAGATATAAAATAAAAATTACAATGTACATCATTAAAAAAATACGTAGTTCGTCGTAAGGGGGAACTTGTACGTTATTTGTGGCTGTTGACTATTCTGGCCGAAGCAATAGAAAAACTGTTTTTAAGTCTATTTGTCTTGCAAAGTCGCAAAGCAAAGGTATGCTCGTGCCTTAACCTATGAGAGCTTATAAAACTTCCAGGACACAAACAACCTTCTAAGGGGGCTCTCCATTTGTCAGAACTGGTCGATTGGACTGTTTGCCCATAAATGGAAAGGAACAGTTCCGACAACTGGCTAATTAGTTCTGGCTGGGTCCTTTGGTTGGAGCCAGTAACTTTTCATGCCTCTTTGCTGGGAGACTAACCGCGAGAAACTATGTAGTCTGGAATGCCTACAACGAAAACGATCGTGTAAACAAACGCAATTCCCAGCTCTAGTGCAGAAAAAAACGCGATGAAGGACGCCTGATCCACCTCTACTCAGAAAGAGTGGATTTATTCTTTCGATTCTCGCCAGTAATAAACAGTTCAGTTGTAATATTTTCTAGATAAGGGTTTGGTCCAAGCCCGATGCAATCAACAGCGTAGACTTCGCTCTCGATGTTGCCAAACGCGCGTTGGAATTTTACGAAGATTTCTTCAAGGTGCCATATCCACTTCCTAAGTTAGGTGAGTTTCAGACTTCATGTTATTGCGCCTTCCTCACTTGGCTAATAATTTTTTTCTTACTACTAATCCAATGAACTAAAACCAAATGTTTAAGAGAGGACGCAACATAAACAATACACTATTAGCCAAGAGGTCTAAAATGAGTCCGAATTTCACAACAGCGTTTGACGAGTAATTGAGAGTTACAGAACAATTCCTACCGGATATAGCGACTTATTGAAATTTGAAATTGTTCAAATCATTGTTTCACAGATCTCATAGCAATTCCAGACATGGGCGGTGCAATGGAAAACTGGGGACTGGTAACATTTCGTGAATCGGCTGTACTGTTTGACCCAGACACCGGAAGCGTGGGTGACAAAAAATTAGTAACCATGATTGTTAATCATGAACTTGCGCACCAGGTACGATGAATGCTATCACTGCATCAGGATGTGCGTTGAATCACGCATCCAGATGCACGCGTAGGCAGATGTGTTGACACCACATTCTATCTATTTTTGTGTGGTTCTAATTTGAGCCTAGTGTACAGCTACAATCAGTTGCAAAAAATGTTGAGAAACGTTGAGAAAAAATGCGTTTACCGAATTCATTGGATGGGCAAGAGAAATTAAGTGCAAAAAAATAAATAGCACTCGCCCCCAACCCCCCTTCTTGATTCAATATTTTGAGCAAGATACTGATTAGCTAGCAACAGTTGCAAAAGAGTGGGGGATTCATTCTGTTGGCTCGCTAAGTGAACAGGTTTCCCTTCGCATGGTAATATTTCTCAACTACTTTTGCGACTGACTGTTACTTGTCTTGTTCTTTGAAGCTATGAGTGATTGTCACTTCTTAACTTCAGTTATGACAAGAGACAAAATTCCTAACCAAGAGGTGTTATGCTGATATAAAACCAGCTTCTCTCAACTAATTCTCAAAGAAATCTATGGCAGCTAGTGGGGAGAATCACTGATCACTTTTGTCAAGAGATCATAATCTCTTGCTTTCGTGCATGGATGACCCAAATACTTCTTTCCTACTTCTTTCAGTGGTTCGGCAACTTAGTGACGATGAAATGGTGGAATGACCTGTGGTTGAATGAAGGATTCGCTGTATACATGGAATATCTTGCCACTGATAACTGCAATAATCAGTGGAAAAGGGTAAGAACACTACCTACCAATAACTCTTCGTCTCCCAAATGTAATCAGTGGCTTTTCGAAAAAGTTCTCCATTGGTCGCGATCTTTAACAGATGTTGCTGCATCTTTCCATGGCGCCACCCAATCATCTCTCGCTTTCTTACACACCTTTTCTTCCGCTATATGCCTCTTTGATATATCTAAAGAACACAAAAGTGGAGAGTTAGCTAAAATGTAGATACCCACACTTTAAGGAGGGAAAATTTTAACAAATCACCAACACAACGTTTATGGTGATCGGACGCATCTCTGTGCTTAAAGATTAGGTGCTGTTTTTTCTGTTCTAGGAAGACCAATTCATACTGGACACGTCGAGAGAAGCTCTAGATGTAGACAGCTCAATTTATACACATCCTGTGTCAGTTAAAGTTCACAATCAAGCAGAAATAAACGAAATCGTGGATAAAATAACATATCACAAGGTACGCTTCCGTACTAGTTCCAAATATCTGTGTGCTATCGTCACAGATTTAACGACTGTGGCCGGCTAATATTGATTTTTATTTCACAAAAATGTTTGATTTTACAGAGTTCAGCCGTCATTAGAATGATGCAAAACTTCCTCGGAATGGAAACTTTTAGAAAAGGAATTCAGGTATTAATTCCTCGGCAAATCAGTCATTGTTTCTTGTTCTTATCCGCTGAATTTTTTTTTTTTCAACCTTCCATTTTATTCCTTCAGAAATTACAAAGTATGAATTTAATCCTCGACACTTTTTAAAAGTTTTCCCTCTCTTCTCGATTCAGATTTACTTAAACGATCATCAATTTTCAAATGCCAAGGCGTTGGACCTTTGGAAAGCGATGAGTTTGGTGAGTGCATTATGTGTACTTCTCATTAATAAATCGTACCCCCCCCCCTTCTGAAGTTGCTGGTGTTTAAGAAAACATAAACATGTTGTAAATTTCTGAAAGTTTCTAGTGCGTTATTCATAAAACTGAAAACCGTTCATCTAAATGCTTTGGATTGCAGTGGCTTTGCCTCGCCACGCTCTCCGTCCAGAGAACTCGCGTCCATCACTAAACCTATTGCACCTTCCATCAGCGTTAATATCAGTGCTGTTTCTACCACACCCTAAATCATTAACAGACCTCTCTCCCCTTTTTAATGTTGGCTAAAAGTTCCTGGAATCACGATACAACATTGTTTGGGGGGGAAGAGGCGGCGAATAGATTAACTTAACGAGGGAAAAAGAGATAAAATTGAAGTAATAGGGGGTTGAAAAGATCAATGTGTCCACAAGTCAAAGAGCAAGCAAGGTAAAAGTAAGAGGAGGGAATCCGTAATAATTATTACATTCATCCTCGTCTTTTAAGAAAGAAAAACAGCGTCAACTCTTTCAACCTCGACGCCTACAAAAACGTACGAGATTTTGACCCCTTTAAGGAAGATTGAAAAGCGATCAATTCAGTTCGACGCATTCAACAGGTAAGGAAAGCTTTCCTTGTAAGAACCAACATGACAGATACGTTTAAAAAAGAAACATAAAGAAATAAGTGTTTGGCTTCAAACTCAGGCGACTGGAAGTCGTATAGACGTTGCAACAGTAATGGCTCCATGGGTGAGGCAAAAAGGATTTCCTGTTATTTCAATTATCAGCGTTAATACTCAGAAGAAAGATGGCCACTTGTTGTACACAGCGAGTCAGAAAAGATTCTTCAGAGATTTTACTTCGCAACACTTAAAGGACGGACATAAGGAAACGTAAGTTCACATCAGAGGGAGTCACTGTTTTCGTATCATTTTTTTCCCTGCATTTCTCGAGTTAGCGCCCTTGCATCTTGAGAGCACAACATGTAACTTTCAATTGAGAGGTTACCCCTAAAAATGATATTTCTCTGATGTCTTTTGGCCCTTATTCAGACCTGGATGGTATATCCCTCTGACATACATTACCAAAGACTCACTTGGTGCTGTCAAAACAGTTTGGATGAACAACACTTCAGGTGAGAGATAATACATTTGTGTATTAACAATGACGTGTTACTGACGTTAACAATGTAGAAAATAACACTATCATAAGAAGCCAATAAAATTCAATTACACATAATTTAATGATATTAATCACAGCAAACACAAGAAGCCAAGTCCCATTGATTTTCATCTTACATCTGATTGGTTGAAAAAGAGGCTTGAGTTTTCTAGACCAATCACAGTGCACAGTGGAGGGAGACCAATGCGAATCCTGACCACTTTTGACACTTTATTCCACTCGTTCAGTTTTTTACGTTCACAGACATAATGCTTTCAATTCCTAGTTACATTTCAACTTTCCTCCAGCAACTCTGGTTGGTTCAAGGCAAACGTAGGACAAACAGGTTTTTATCGCGTCAATTATGACGACGAAAACTGGAAACGCCTGAGTCAGCAACTACTTCACAACCACACGGTAAGGTATTACCCGCTACAGTCAAAGGTCAGTTGTACGTTTTTCTCTGCACCAACTACCCTAATTCATTTTTGTAAGCACTCCAGTCAGTTGCAAAACGAGTGCGCCAAAAATTATACCAAATACTTTCGATGAACATCACTGCACTGATAAGAAATCATAGCAAATACAACATCAATCTCGTTCCCATGCGATATACTCGTTCCCCACATGTGACGAGTTCTCGATAAGATTTGCTATATGTCTGTTTCCGCGAGATAAAAGCAAAATCATCAAATAAATACACAACTAAAGAAGCACAAGAATAAAACAAAACAATCTATAAAAGGAGGGCGAAATTGCGCGAGATACAAACGAAAGAATTAAATAAAAGGAAAACTAAGTTGCGCAATATACAAATATAAAAATTATATGAAAGGGCTAACGTTGCGCGATACAAACATAACAATCATATGGAAGGAACGATTAAATGTAAGAAAAGCTAAAGTTGCACGAGATGCAAACAAAACAATTGAATGAAAGGAAAGCTTAAGTTGCGCAAGATACAAACAAAAAAATTGAACGAAAGAAAAGCTAAAGTCGCGCGAGATACGAACGAAACGATCAAATGAAAGGATAGCTAAAGTTTTGCGAGATACAAACGAAACAATTAAATGAAAGCTAAAGTTGCGCGAGATACAAACATAACAAACCGATGAAAGGAAAGCTAAAGTTGCGCGAGATACAAACAAAACAATCAAATAAAAAGACACCTAAAATTGCGCGAGATACATACATACATACATACATACATACATACATGGTTTATTTGATAAAGCAGGTTACTAAGTAGGCAAGACTAAAGTCCTGATGAGGACCTGCTAAACTGCGCGAGATACAAACAAAACAATAAAATGAAAGAAAAGCTAAGTTGCGCGAGATACCAACGAAACAATCAAATGAAAGGGAAGCTAAAGTTGCGCGAGATACAAACGAAACAATTAAATGAAGGAAAAAGTGAAGTTGCGCGAGATACAAACGTAACAATCAAATGAAACGATAGCTAAAGTTGCGCGAGATACAAACGAAACTCTTAAATGAAAGGAAAGGTGAAGTTGCGCGAAATACAAACATAAAAAACATGAAAGGAAAGCTAAAGTTGAGCGAGATACAAACGAAACAATCAAATGAAAAGACACCTCAAATTGCGCGAGATACAAACAAAACAATAAAATGCAAAAAAAGCTCAAGTTGCGCGAGATACAAGCGTAACAATCAAATGAAACGACAGCTTAAGTCGCGCGAGATACAAACGAAACAATTAAATGTAAGCAAAGCTAAAGTCGCGCGAGATAAACGTAACAATCAAATGAAAGAAAAGCTAAAGTTGCGCGAGATACAAACGTAACAACCAAATAAAAGGACACCTAAAATTGCGCAAGATACAAACGAAACAATTAAATTCAAGAAAAGCTTAAGTTGCGCGAGATACAAACGCAACAATTAAATGTAAGCAAAGCTAAAGTTGCGCGAGATAAACGTAACAATCAAATGAAATAAAAGCTAAAGTTGCGCGAGATACAAACGTAACAACCAAATAAAAGGACACCTAAAAATTGCGCAAGATACAGACGAAAAATCATTGAAAGTACACCCATAGTTGCACGAGATACAAACGTAACAATCAAGTGACAGGAGAGCTAAAGTTGCGCAAGATTCAACGAAACAAATAAAGAAAAGGAAAACTAAAGTTGTGCAAGATACAAACGTAACAACTGAATAAAAGAAAAACTAAAGTTGCACGAGATACAAACGTAACAATTAAACGAAACGACAGCAAAAGTTGTGCGAGATACAAACGGAACAATCAAATAAAAGGAAAGCGAAAGTTATGCAAGATAAAAACATAACAATCAAATGAAAAGACAGCTAAACTTGCGAGAGATACAAACAATTACATGAAAGGAAAGCTTAAAATGTGCCAGAGATAAACGTAACAATCAAATCAAAGGAAAGCCAGAGTTACGCGAGATATAGACGTAACAACCAAATGAAAGGACACCTAAAGTTGCGCGAGATACAAACAGGCAATCAATGAAGGGACACCTAAAGTTACGCGAAATAAAAACAAAACTATCAAATGAAACAAAAGCTGAAGTTGCGTGAGATACAGAAGTGACATTTCATGAAAGGTAAGCTAAAGTTGCGCGAGACACAAACGTATAAAACAAATGAGAGCTCATCTAAAGTTTCTCGACAGAAACGTAACAATCAAACGAAACGACAGCCAAGTTGCGCGAGATACAAACGAAACAGTTAAAATGAAAGGAAAGCTAAAATTGCGCAAGATACAAACGCAACAATCAAATGAAAGGAAAGCTAAAGTTGCGCGA